AGTCCTGCCTGCAGACATAAAGGGGTTTTAAGTCATTTTATAGCACATGTTTGGAGGGCATCATTTTAAAATTAGGAACGTGTTAAAATCCCTCATAGCAACTTTACTCACCTTAGCCAGACAGTTACTTTTGCTATACACAATGTCTGGGCTTTGAGGTGGGCAGATCTGGGGACCCCCCAGGATAGATGGAAGGTGTGTGGTGCTGCTGAGATCTCTGGGAAGCACTCAAGGGCTCTGGATGTGCTGAAGCCACCCCCCTTCCTCCCCACCTCATCCCTTTTGCCAAGTTCGCTTTAGAACTTGAGTGTCTTTCCAGGGAAATGTAACCCATATGTCTCTGATTCACTCGCGCTCCATTTGTAAAGGGAAGGGCCAGGAAGCACATTTTGACGTCGCAGTGCGTCTTTTTTCTTAGAAGGAGAGAGCTGGCTTTGCCAACTGGAAGAAAGGGAAGCCTTGGAATTCTGCAAGTATTTGAAAAGCAGAGCCCCAGCGAGCAGCATACCCTGCCACCTGACCTGTGTGGGGTGGCCAGGGCTGGGAGGGCTCCTTCCTGGGTCTGCTGCCAGCTCTCTTAGTGGTCTGTCAGATGGCTCCTCCGCCGAGAAAGCCAAGGACAGCTGGGACCATCGAGCTGCCTGCCTGGCCTGGAGGCAAATCTGCTTGCCCTCCCATGGCAAGCCTGAGTTACCATTCTGGGAAGCGGTAGGGGACATTCATGTCTGCTTCATCCCTACACAACAGCCTTGGAGGAGAAAGGGTGAAACGCAAGTATAGTCAATACACATTGCTTATGTTTCCAGAGGCTACAAGGGAGTGCAGATTGCAATCATACATGTACTCTCTCAACCCTTGGAGGCCACCAAAAGTTGACTGCAGAGCTTAGAGAGGGTTTTTGTGTGTTGGCAGCCACAGCGTCATAGCGTCCTTCCAAAGTTCCTACAGAAGAATAAGGCTCAAGCAACTAAGCACTAAATCATACTCCAAATTTTTCCTCTGTGACCTCACTTTTGTGCTATGTTTTCTATTAGGAATAGAGAAAAGATACTAACTGTCATATGTGTAGTTTTTTAAAAAAATCACTTGTTCCTCTGGAAGAAAATGAAGATATATAATACTAATGAAAACCAACCTTTAAAATAATAAAGAAAGCAAACTCGCCCCTTTTCTTGACAAGTATGGTGGTGATTGATACCCCTCATAAGCATCTAAGCCACAGCCAAACTTGAATCTAGTGGCTCTGTGGGTTAATGAAATCATGACAGGTTTGGAACTATTCTCACAGGCGGCTGAGAACTATTCCTAATGCTGAGCCACAGAGTGAGAACTGATGACAGCTCAAGGCTTAGGAAAACACCCGTTCTCACCATTATCTCCTCCCTGGGTGATGGCAATAGCCTCACTACTAGTCCCTCTGCTTCCAACCTTGTCATTCTATGGTCTATTCTCAATGCGGCCAGCACATGCTCCTTTATGGTCTAAAGTCAGAGCACATCAGTGCTCTGCTCAAAACCCTCCCGTGGTTCTTGTGTTACTCAGAGTGAAGCTCGTAGCCCTTACAGTGCCCCATAAGGTCAAACACAATTGCTGCCCACTTCCCCGGTGACAGCCATCACTCTGTCTCGTGTTCCTTCTCCCAGTTCCTTCCCCCTTCTGCTCCTCAGGCACCCCTGGCTCACTCCCATGTTAAGTACTTGGTGCTGAAATACTCCTCTCCCAGATCTTCCTCTGGCTCACTCCTTCATCTCTTCAAGTCTACACACCAGTGGGGCCACCCCGACCTCCTATTTAAAACTGTGGCACATTCTATACTCCATAACCCTACCTTGATCAGTTTTCCCATAGTACTTACTACCTTATCATTGTCTTACGAGTTACTCATTTATTATTCTGTTTATTGTTGCCTTCTCCAACTAGAGAGCTTTACAAGAGGAGAGCTTTGGTGAGTTGTTTGACCATTTGGCTCACTGCTGTATCCCAAGTGCTTAGAACAGGGTCTGGCACAAAGTAGGTACTCAATAAATATTTGCTGAACAAATGGATGGCTGTGAGCACCAGGAACAGTATTATAACACACCATCAGCCCAGTCTCAGCTCCAGGATTGGGTTATGTTACTTTTACTCAGTTCACCTTGCTAAGATGCCTGCCTTAAGGTGTTGGGTAGATGGGACGGTTTGGTAGACGGGACAGTTAGAGCCCAGAGGAAGAAAGTGGGATGAGCAGGGAACCTTAAGCGCCAACCAGGCATCCAAAGTGTCTCTCTTCTCTTGTCTAGGCTGCCCCTTGAATGGGAGAATTGGGAGTGAGGGGCCGGCCCTGATGTCTCTGCAGCCCACTCACCAGCCTCCTGCAGCCCCCCAGGCCTACCTGCTTTGTCTATCCAGGCACGGTAGCCATTCAGCTCACGCTCAATCTGCTGCTGGCGCCGCAGTTTCATGAAAGCCCTTCGGTTCTCCACTCTCTCTCTCTCTTTGGCAAATTCCCTGTGGAAAAGAAGGATAAGATTCACTGGGTTTGGATAGGGCCATGACTAAGGGAAAGGGTGAATCAAGCAACAGAGACAGAGCATCTGAGCAAGTACCTCTATTAAGCTCATGTACCCTTTCCTCTGATCCAGGCTGCAAATATGACCTCCTTACAATGTTACACAGAAACACACCTCATTCAGCCTCACACAGGAAGCCTTCCCAGACTAGCTGTATTCCATTCAGGACCAACTGATTGCTTGCTCTATTTTGAAAGGTATGTTCTTAGCCATGTGAGAAACTAGGTTTCAAAATGCCATGTTCCACCTCTTCAGCTACAATGAAAATCCCTAACCCTCTGAAGGGCACAGCTACTCTTTCTCCTTTTGATAACAACAGCGATTAATGTATATTGACCAATTATGATCAATATATGACCAAGGCTTAGGAAAACACTTGTTCTCACCACTATCTCCTCCCTGGATGGTGGCAATGGTTTTCACACCCGTTAACTCATTTCATCCTCACAACCATCCTACGAAGTATTAATAATATTAAAATTCCTATTTAACAGATGGGGAAGCCAAGGTTTAGTGAGGTGAAATACCTTGCTGGGATTTGAACTCTAACAACAATGTCGTGTTGCCTCTGCTGTCCTGTACTCTGGTGCTTAATAAAAGCTGCCCACTGAAGATCAATGAGGCTGATGACTTCAAAGGCTAAAATGCTATTCAAAGGTGGCTGATGTCAGTTAAATAAGAAAGGAAGGGACGTGGGAAGGACACCTGACTCCCATAAAGCCAGTGGGAAGGTGGGTGGGGCGGGGGTGGAGGGGAGATGATGAGGCAGAGGGAACACCCAGGTGAGGGTCAGGAAGAAGACAAAGCCCATGACAGGCTCAGGGGACTAATGCCACTTGGTGTGACAACAGGAATGAGAAGGCTACAGTTCCATGGGAGAAAGAGGAGAGAAGAGGACTAAGGGTTCCCTGGTAGACAAAAGGAGGATCAAATTTAATGAGTGAAAGAATGGGGATAAATGAATCAGTTTCCTAACAGGTTCCTCCAGAAGCCACCTCTAGCAATGCCTTTCCCATCACCAAACACCCTTCCAGGCTAAGATGCTCCTTACCAGTGCAGTGCCTCCCAGCCGTGGCTCAGGTGTTCTCCTACTACCTGGGAAGCTGTTCTACTTATTAAATGTGATCTCCATAAAGAACTGCAGGCCAGGCACAGTGGCTCATGCCTGTAACCCCAGCACTTTGGGAAGCTGAGGTGGAAGGACTGCTTGAGCCCAGGAGTTCGAGGTTACAGTGAGCTGTGATTGTGCCACTGCACTCCAGCCTGGGCGACAGAGCAAGACATTGTTTCAAAAAAAAAAAAAAATAGAGAGGTGCAGTCTGAATCTGAGGGAGTTCAGCACCCACTGTGAGTCCTACCAGTTTCTCTGTCATGTCTAGGGAAGAAGAAATGAACGAGGGGCTGGGGAATGGGCCCCAGCCACAGTGTGGGGAAAGGGGAGATGCCAGTCTACCATAATGCCAAGAGACACCTGCTCGTGCCTCACCTGGCCCTCCTGCTGAAATAGAGCTGGTGTCCTTGGGTATAGCCACCTGCTTACAATCAGGCAGAGGGTTTAGGGAAAGGCACATTGGAAGGAGAATTTCTCCTGTGCTTGGCTTCAGGTTCACTGGGTTCTACTAAAGGTGCTATGGGGGAAGGAAAGGAGAGAGTCAAAATGAAGAGCCACCAGGGCCAGTGAGGACCAGGGTAATTGAATTCAAGCCCTGGGATGCCTCCTTTCTGCTTTCTGAATTTCAGCAATTTGAAAGTAAAAAGGGGCTGGCTTGGTTCATGGAATCACCATCCACCAAAATTCTTACCTTTGGATCTTTGCTTCTTTCTGTCCCTCCTGTCCAATTAGTACCATTGTCCTCCTGTTGGTTCTACCTTCATAAAAGCACCTGAATTTATCCTCCCTCTCCATCCTCACTATCTTGGTCCATGATCTCATCCTTCCTCGCCCGGACCACTGCAATAGCACCCAGCTGGTCTCTCAACCTCCTGTCTCTTTCTCCTCCTTTCACCCATCTCACACTATCAATGTTATCTTTTTAAAAGGCCATTCATTGGATCTTACCACTTCCAAACCTCCAGTAATAACCATAGCAAGTAACATGTGTAGAGCATCTCTTAATTTACCAAGCATCTTCATATATTTTGCTCATTTAATCTTTACAACCATTCTGAGAAGAAGGTAGAATAGGTATTTTCATCCTTAACTTAAAAGTTATGCAACTTGATGGAGTTTAAGTAAGAAACAGAGCCAAGACCAGAACCCAGGCCTTTCTCTTGTAAGAGTCCAAGTCCTTCAGGCCCCACATATTTGCCTAGTCCCATGGCATTTTTATATGCTACTTTATCTTTTCATAGGTCTGTGTCTTGATTTTTCAACTAAGCTCTGGGGGAATCCAGGGAAGTTTAACAAGGTGATATTTTGAGCAAGACCTTGAAAGAGGAGAATTGAAGCAGGCTATGACCAGAGGAACATAATCATCCTTGAGCATCTAGGGTAAGCATTATGACCAACAGATCCATTTTCCAGCTCAGAAAACTGAATCTGAAGGGACTTAAGTGGTCCTTTGAGAAGGCAAGTGTCCAAGGACACACAGTCCCTCAGAGGAACCACAACTCTCAGATCTTCTAAATTCCATCTCTTTCTACTCTATCAGCCCCTCCTTTACGTCTTCCATCATCCTCTGCTGAATGAAGAGGATGAAGCCTTCAAGCATGACTTTCAAAGTCTTACACAGTTGGAGCCAAGCCTTTCTCTTCAAGCCTCATCTCCTCCTGCCATCCCTATCCACCCCCTGCCATCCCTATCCACCCCCTGCCTGCCTACAGTCCACCACAGCCATGCTTCAACTATAGCACATTTCCCACCCTTCCTGAAAAGGCAAGGTGAGCGTTCGAGGCTAGCGCACAATGCTTATCCGCCTGGAATTCCCTTTTATCTGCCTGAGTCGAAATCCTTCTTCAAGGCCAGGCTGAAATGTTGCCTCTTCTGTTTGGGTCCCACCATCCCTGCCCCTCAACCTTCTGGCCTCTAGTCTACCTCTTCTACAACTCTTTAGAGCTCATCTTGCAGTCAGACCTTTACTATGGTCAGCTGTCTTTCTTTCTGTGTGAGTTTTCTGCAAAAACATTCTGTGCCTTACTCAACTTTCTATCTTCCCAGACTAGAATAGGCCTACCACATAGTATATGTTCAGTAGATTTTTTTTTTTTATGAAAAATATCCAGGCTTACTAGGAGAAGTCATAGCTCTTCCCTGACTCCCAGAGGCTTCAAAGAAGGTGTACTCCATCTCTGCACTGACTCAAAGGGAGCAGGTAAACGAGCGGCAACTCCTGCACACTGCCACCAGTTTCTCTTGGTTTCACTTCACTATAATCACTGTAAATTAGACTATAAAGAATGGGCTTTGTCATCTCTATATGGCCCCCAGAATGACAATGTAGCTTGATTTCTGGCAGGATAGGCCAACAAACCCCAGTCTAACCTCCCTTTGTCTAACCTCTTCTGATTCCAGGTTAAGTGGTGTTTCCACATGCCTCCTTGTGTTTGGAAGTTTCTTGGATCCAGGTCTCACTTGCTGGGTTCCCTGCTCTTTTTTGCCATTATAGGCTCCCTTTCCTCCCACCCTCCCACTTGGCATCCTAGCTGGAACTCACAGGCCCAGAGTCTGACAAATTTGGCCAAGTCTCTTGGCTAAAAGAATTAAAGCAATGAATGTGCACCACTGGGAGTACTCCCAAGCAGCTTCAGCACCTTCATGGAGGATGTGGGGGACCTTCTTTATGATGCTTTATCAACTGGCCTTTTCTGTTTCTGTTTTGTTCTTTCATTGGGAACCTGGGTAGCAAGTCCAGCATCTGTGTCTTTCCTAACTCTTATCGCCCCTCCACTCTCACTGCTGTAATTGTTAGTACCCATGGCCTGTCTCCCTGACTAGTCTGCAGGCTTCATGAGGTCAAGTAAAGCCTGTATCATATCACATTCCAACAAGGGTCAGTGAAGCTTAACCCAGTGTCTGGTATGATAGATTCTACAGGTTATAGAAATAAAATATCAAGAACAGCTAATGTTCATATAACACACTTAAACTTGTTAAATTTACAAATCATTTTCATGTAAATTATTACATTTAAAGTTTCAAAAGCCCTGCGAGATTCAAAAAGATTACTTGCCCAAGATAATCCAGTTAGCAAGAGGCAGAGACAAAATTCAAACTAATGTCTTCTTCCAGGTTATGTGCTGTTTTCACAACGCCTTAGCTGTCTACCCTGCTACCTAGAAGTCAACATTTAAAATCTACAAGAGGGATTTCATTTCAGCCCAAGGTTGAGGAAAATAAGCATATAAAAAGATGACTTTTGTTTTTCTTTAAGGGATTATCCTTTTCATTGAAACAGTAGCATAAAAATCCATTGCTCTGTGTTGGGTTATTAAAGACCTAGAATAAAAGTCATAGCATTAGTCAAGCTAGTGATATACTGTTTGATTTTGTGTCCATTTATTCATACATATATTGCATTCTGGAGAGAACAGGAGCAAATAAGATTCAGCTTCATAAACCTTAGATTTAACATGCCCATCAGGCTCATGAGTATATATGTGACCAGACCTGGGAAACAAAGCATACTCCTTTAACTGGTCCCTCTCTCCTCTGACAATCTAAGTACCCTGTCCTCTTCACAGAGGATCCTGGGGTTATTCAGATGATGACGCTTTTGTAAAGATAAAGCATATTACCATTATTTAGTTTACCAGATGACTGCTGAATTTCCCCCATTGAAAGGCAGCTCAAAGCAGGGCACTACGAATATCTTAATTTATCCAGTTCCCTTGGAGCAAGGCATAGAAAATGTAAAAGGGGGAATCTGGCCTATAGTAGAAGAGTGTTCATATTCTCTAAGGCCCCTTGGCATCAGCCTGTGGCCTAAGGTAAGAGGATAG